GTTGGAGCTGAGCCAACTTAAGTGGTGCTAAGCATGGGGTTTTCTAAGCAGTCCTAGGGGTTTTCATCCACATGTCAGTGTTGGACATACCAGGACAGCTTCCGTTTTCTTCAAGAGAACCTGAAGTCAAAAAGGTGAGCTTGTTTGAATATGAATATAGTATTGAAAGTGTGGCTTTTCAGTAGTCCATGTTTAATTCTTTTGTTTAATCATGTGCTTGATGCTACACTGTAGCTTGCTTGCTAACTAAGTAGTCAGCTAATGTTAGCATAGTAAACAATGGTTTGATAAATTCCATGTCTATATGGACCGCAGAGTCTCTATGTATGGTTCAGAAGTGCAATGGACGCGTCAGTAACAAAACAGCTGATTGTCAGAACTCAATGTGGAACTTATTCGTTTATGCATTACATCAAAATAAATACTGCTAACTAGCATAATTTATTTTTTATGGCCATATAAGGTTACCCTACAGGGTTTCCCATAAATGTATTTAAGTGTGCCCCACCCACCATGTCATTTTGTCAAGGCATTTGCTAGTTGTGTTGCACATTCTTTAGAATTGATTAGGTACACATAAACAAAACTAATGCAATACAATGGCTCTGCATTAAAACCCTTCTTTGATAGGTATTTTGGTGGTAAGTTTATTGAATCTGTTTGACAGAGGTATTAAATTATTTTAATGGTCAATTTGAAGGCCGTTTATGGTGCTAAATATTTGGAACACTTCTCAGTGTAAATTATACCATGACTCATTATAAAAACTCATTATAATCTCATGAAGGAAGGATTTATTTCAGAGCTGTATTACACTGCATTAGTTCTTGGTGAACCTAATAAGCTGAAACTGTGCGAGTGTATACCTTTTTTTATACAGTCTATGGTGTATACCTGCACATGCCCCCACACAGTGTTCAATAAATAAATTCTTACAGCTGTTGTCCTGTGAAGCTGGTGCTGCTCCGTGGCCAGTCTCACCGGGAAAGGTGTACTGAGGTTCCACCAACCACAACCCTCTCTCGTGTGCTAGATAGGTATGTTCACATGCAGAGTCGCTATGTTTATTTCCAATTTTCAGAGGCAAGGCTGTGAATTTTTTTTTTCAGGA